ATGTTCAATCAATAAAGTTTTAGATTTTAGCCCGCTGGCCCGCCAGCCCGCCAAGTTCACACTGCTAGCCCGTTGCACTGTTAGCCCGCGCCACTTCACACTGCCAGGTAATGTATCATAACGTTTTATGTTCAATCAATAAAGTTTTAGATTTTAGCCCGCGGCCGCCAGCCCGCCCAGTTTCACACTGCTAGCCCGCTACAACTGTTAGCCCGCGCCACTTCACACTGCCAGGTAATGTATCATAACATTTTTATGTTCAATCAATAAAGTTTTAGATTTTAGCCCGTTAGCCCGCCAACCCGCCCAGTTCACACTGCTAGCCCGCTACACTGTCAGCCCGTCCAATTCACACTGCTAGGAAATGTAATCATGAGGTTTAATGTTCAATCAATAAAGTTTTAGACTTTTAGCACCCGCTGGCCCGCCAGCTCCGCCCAGTTCACACTGCTAGCCGCTACACTGTATGCCCGCCCAGTTCACACTTGCCAGGTAATGTATCATAACATTTTTATGTTCAATCAATAAAGTTTTAGATTTTAGCCCCGCTGGCCCGCCCGCCGCCCAGTTCACACTGTTAGCCCGCTAAGACTGTTAGCCCGCTCAGTTCACACTGTTAGCCGCTAGACTGCTAGCCCGCCCAGTTTCACACGTTTAGCCCGCTGACTGCTAGCCCGCCCAGTTCACACTGTTAGCCCGCCAGACTGTCAGCCCGTTAGCCCGCGGTACTTCACGAATAATAACATATATCAATATACTTGAATACACAACTCACTTAAATTATGCTGTTACTACATCCCAGGGTTTAGTATCTGTAATAAGATAAGCGCCAAAATTTATAGAGGCTAAATAACAAAATACAATAGTAAAGGATAAGACACGTAGTCAAAACTGAGCCCCATTTGATGAACACTGTTCGCAGTAATAATCCACACAAAGCATGAAAACTTTATTATCTTTAAGAATATAGTTCCACATTTTAAAATACTATGATATGCTCGATCCCCACCTACCCCTCAACTCCTCCCTTGATAAACCTAATGAAACCATTGGGATAGGTATTAGATCAATACTGTATATACCCGCCAAACTGCGTAAGTTGCGCTGTTTATGATCCAGTCCGGACATTTCTGCCTCAGACAACTATACGTCCAATTAGCTAAATCATATTAAACTTGAACTTTAAAAGCAGTATGCCTGAAATATTGCAATTTTTTGTATGTAATTCTTTGTCGTATTATTTTTCCACTTTGCTTTATTTATTTTTTTATCTTATTCATCTATCATATCGTGTATGTTGGTAATAATCAATTTATAGATATCAATTGGTCTCGTATTTCTGTCATCGGGGCCGCTCATTTTCGTTTGGCCGTGCCCTATGTTGTCGCCGCGTATTGCATTCAAGCTCACATATCTTTTCCCTCTTGTTTAACACGAATTAACCCGTCTCGTAATGCCTGATTCGCAAATTCTATACTCATCCAGGAACTTAAAAAGCACAGCAGAAACTATAATTCCTTTGGGCAATTACTTGAAAAATAGAATCCCGATGCATTCATGAAGGTAATTGGCCGATAATGATCGAATTTCTGGGACGTGGCTTAAGTAATTAGTTCCAAAAATACTCCTTTACGACTTCCGGCCAACCATGTTTTGTATTTAGGCAATGGTTATACTTAACAAATCATTTAAGCGTAATCCTTAACAGCCGTTCACAGAAACGATAGTTTTACGTGGTCATAATAGACGATAATGATAAAAACAATTCTCTTATTAATAAAGATCATTAATATGCGCCATTCTCTCTCGCCCGACTGACATACGCTAAGAGTAATTAATTAGTACAGATTTGGGTAAACTTTACGATAAGTCTTGATCTGTAATGAAATAATAAATAATCTCGTTGATGAACTGCTGCTGACCATTGAAAACAACTTTTATTTTATATTAAACGGAAAATGAAATGGTTAAATTGTTTTCAAAAATAACCATTGACATATTCGTGGTATTTTTATCGATATTATGTGCTCATTCATTATGATATACTAACACTTTTTTTCAGATAATAAATTACCCAACGATGTGTATTACATCATTAACAATAGAAAAAAGTAAAGATCTTTAAAAAATGTCATGTTATATATCATACAACACGTATAATGAACCTGCACAATAACAAAAATGAATTGATAATTGCTTCAAATTCATGAAAAAGCCAGATGTTAACAGATTGAGACAGATCTTATAAATAGGGAACACGGTACTCGCATAAAGATCATAGGCAACACATGAACAAGACGACACTACACAACGAATTATATCAAGGTTACATATGGAAAGAATGAGATTCGATTCTGGCGAATATTCATTCTTCAACTACGCGAAAGGTGATGCAAGAAAGTAACATTTGACTGGATAATGCCCATCGCAGAATACTAGCTATAAGACAACGCGAGAAAGGATAACACATTAATCGATCGTTTATTCTAGGTAAGAAACTACAGGTCAGCTTGTTTGCTTTGACGCGTTGGGTTTCTGAACACACGCCGATCAGGCGTAACCTTGGCAGTCACCCTTTCATTTGTTAAACTGTCTAGCACAGGTTTGCTCAGAGCAACCCCTAATGTCTTCCTCCTCCAGTAAAGCTTGAAAGTCGCCATATGACCGATACTGTGTTAGTGCGACGTTAAACCTATACAAAGCCATTCGCCTGAAACAAAGTAAAAAAATTACAGCTCCAGATTCTTAACCCTTGCGACCCGTATTATCTTAAATGGACTAGTACATCTTTCAATATGGACAAAACCATTCATTATTTTTAGGGAAAATTTCAAAAATATGTACTGACAAAATAGCGATCTTGGTTTGCCCTGGTCACATAGATAAATCTTTGCCACCAGCAGGCAAATTGTTAAAATATATGTGTACACTTTCGGGTCTTTAGGTTTTAGTTTCATTCCATTACTTTTAGTGTGTTGAGGGTTCAAATGCTAGTACATGTATTTATTTCTTAAGCCGGTGTCAGGGGGTGTAAGAGATGTTGCATTTATTTTAATGATATCTCAAAAACAGACTCTGTTTGACCGGGTGTTCAACGTGTCGGACTAGTAATCTAATGATCGCTAGCCGCATGGGTTCAAACCCCGATAGGGGCAAGTCGTTTCCTTAAGCAAGAAACTTTACACTCATTGCTCAGTACTGGTTGGCTCCAGGAACGGATTCGAAAGTGTATTCATAAGCTTAAAGCTTCCAACACAATCAAACTAAAATAAATTATGTATAATCAAAAACAAACAATTTGTGTATGTGAAATTCTCTGTATATTTTAGTTTGAATGCGTTCGGTTGATTTTTTCGTGCTCTTTCTGGTCAAAAGACAAATTAAATGTCCAGTTAATATAATGATATATATAAAGTTATATTTTGAATAATTTTGGTCAATCTTTATCAAAAATATCTAAGCCTACAAACATGCCAAGTGTTGTTTTAATGCATTTGGTAATTAATCTTAAATCTTTGAAAAAGGGTCCCTGAAGTGAAGCATGCATAAAATTAATAAGAAACCTGCCCTAGCGCCATCTGCTGGCTTTTATAGTCCAGTTGGGCCTTTAAAGTCGCGGGGGTTTCAATCGGTTGTCTGAAATAGTGTACTGGTGTGCACCGGACGTCTTCCATAGAATGAGTTAAAATCTCTTTATGTCTCAGAATGGAATAGATATTTCCTCCTTTAGAAAAATTAAAACGGTAAAGTCTGTATTTCGATGTGACGTTGATCCAAACTAAAAGCAATATATGTCCTTTAAACGAAACGCTCTATGTACATTTTTGGCCTATGGTTACGTTACCAAAGATATATAAAAAACGGTAACCAACTAACCGCAAACCGCAGTTACAAACAACAACAACAACAACAACAAAAACTCATTCCTTGTGAAATACGACAAAAATTCGCTAAGATTTTGACTGAATCTATTTAGATTTATAATCACTATATCAAAAAACCTTTTGACTTATTTCTCACCTACAGTGGCGTGTGTTATTTTACAAAAAACATAAGATTTAGAATTCTTTTGAAAATTATCGTTCGCTTTGAAAATGCATAATTTATTACATATGTTCAAGGGGCCATATCTAAATAATGACTTACTTATCTCAAGAACTTGTGAACATAACAAAAAATAGTTAAGATACGAGAGCTGCGCGTGCTTAATAATGGTTTACATGACGGGACATAACATACATGCAAACACGTGCCCACCGGAAGCGGAAATGACGTCATGGCAACCTAATACCGGCTGTAGAATTGTATATTTGCTTGAATCTTGACACACTCTGTCTTCACAATGTGCAATTTTAAATCCAATATTATGACTTATTCTAAAAGAAACATAAGTCTAATCGATAGATAATGTCACAAAATCAAAATAAATAGACGTCGCTGATTGCGTATTTGTTTTCCCACTCGAGCTTCCGTATTGCCCACCATTATCAACATTTAACAATATAAACTTTGTATTGACTCGAACGGTTCGAAGTACCATAAAAATAGTCGCTAAAGTACAAAGGCAATATATAAACTATTTAAATCGTTTTTATTTTTCCTATACACTTGACGTATTGGAAAATAAAAAGAAATCGTAAAAAGCTCATTACTTACTTGAAATAAAACTCCGCTTTTCAAAGGTTTAATGGTGAAGAAATGTGCTCCGATGAATATAGATATTGTATTGTGATGAAATAATTTCGATTAAAAGTTAATATAAAATTTGAGATCTTATTTAGAGGAGTGAATGGATCTTATGCACTGTATATACACGGTGACTTGATATGTTCATAGATGAAATTTTATACTTTTGATTCCAGAGAGCTTGTTTTTATTTTTTATTTAAATAGTTAATGAGTTTTAGGAATCAAAGTGATTAGTTAATATGCATATGGTAATCCTAACAATTCAATACTTTTGAAACCAAATATTGTCTTGTGAATTTTAAAGTTAAGTGACTTTAAGCAGACGACAGACCAAAAACTGGAGTTTAATACAATATTTTGATATCAAATATGTTATTTTAATGTATTTTTAGGAATAAGAAGAATAAAAATATAAACAAACAACATTTCTAACGTTGGAGGATGTACTCCAGATTTAAAACAGAAGTTTTACAAGACAGGTAAGTAAATTTGTTTTTGTAGATGTGTCCGTTTCATATTCAAATAACATTAAAATATATACGCTGTCCTTATAAAAATATGGAATATTTTACATGGACGAGAAAGCTTACACGATAAAAGGTGCATAACTTCGCGGATGTAAGAGAAATGTAAACAATGTTTCAATATAATACAATAAGTGACGCATAATTATATTTCATTAATAAAACCGTACAATGCCTTATGTTGAGGCAATAGAATTTTATTAATATTAGCACTAAATCTGGCACAATGTCTGGCCAAAAAGCATCTATTTTCGAGAAATATCTAATCAAGGTAAAATTTGTCCGAATGTTAGTGTAAAATAATGATGTTAATGATGTATTACCGTTGTCCTGAATTTTTCTGAATTGCAGTGCTTCTCGACAAATAAAGTGATATAAAACAAATAAAGATGTTCAATATCGACAAATACCGTCAATAAAATACCACATATAAGATATGAAAAGCACAACGATACGACGTAAAGATCATCATCATAATTTATTTTATATACTTATTTACTGAAAGTCTATGTTAATTTATTATTGGGGGTACCTCTTCTAAAATTCCTGAAGAGGTGTCTTATCTATAAGATACCGTTTTTAGATGATTTTTAACATTGAAGTCATAGAAGTTAACGTTTTACTTCTTGTTTTTTGTTCTACCTGATTTATAATCAGTGCACGACTTTTCAACCGTGCACATGCTTTATCTAGCTTCTAACATGGCAGATGTCAAGATTGAAAGGCACTCGAAAGAATTGTAAATAAGAAAATATGCAAACAAGTGATAATATGAGCCGTGTCACGACAAAACCAACATAGTGCGTTTGCGACCAGCATGGATCCAGACCAGCCTGCGCATCCGAGCAGTCTGATCAGGATCCATGCTGTTCGCTATCAGTTTCTCTACTTGTTATAGGGTCTGTAAGCGAACAGCATGGATCCTGATCAGACTGCGCGGATGCGCAGGCTGGTCTGGATCCATGCTGGTCGCAAACCCATTATGTTGGTTTTGTCGTGACGCGGCTCATATATAGTTCAAGTATTGATAAATCGTAATCTTATAAATAAATCCAAAGTTATTTTCATACCTCGACTTAAGATCTTAATCCACTTAAAAATAGAATTAATTTATTTCTAAAACCTAAAATATATCCTGCTTAAAATGAAGAAGCAACATTAATGAAAGAATTAGTAAATCCATACAGTAGATGAAGGGAATTAATTAGTTTCGCTTAAAGGCCCGATATGCATTTGGAATCCATATATATGAAATGTGAAACATGTGATTAATAATGTTTTAATATTATTTTAGAGCATGTTAGATCTCAAACAGCTGGTGAGTGAAGCACATACTGTGCAGTTATGTGTCGTTAAGGTAGCCAAATGTAAACAAATTACTATTTTGACTTCCATACAAAATACTAATTCACTATAATTATACCTTTTGCCAATAAAGCAAAAGAAGCACAGATCTGTACTGTTTAGCGCAATGCTACTTTGAGCGCATCCTGTACGAACGAATCCTTAGTAAAGACAAAATCGTACATTGTGTGGCCTTGAACATGAGTTTCCTTGTATTTTACAAAATCTTTCAATTCAATTGAATTACTGACACATGTTTAGACCAAGGAACAAGTAGGATTATAAGTTAATCTCATTCTATTAAGTAGCAGATTTTAACAGTCAAGCCCTGTTAGTCGGAGATTAAAGACACCTGTATAATGTACTAGTGTCACTTAAAACTTCAACTTAATTTTAACCTAAATATGATATTTTGCATTTCTTTTTCTTTTTGTTTATGTCTTTTCCCAAATCGCAGCTGCATTTCACATTGTGGCCGGATTAAATTATCTTAAACAATATAATTATATCTTAGTGCTATGGTCTTTTTGTAATTGTTGATCACCGTCTTTTTGCACTAATCTATATACAGACTGAATATTTTCATGAAATGTCTACTTTTAAAGTAACGCCACTGAGGTCCAAAGGCCTCAACACGTAAAATTTGAAAATATTACAAGATTAAGTGGTGCACTTAAAATAGACAAAAAAAAAACCCTACAAACGATAATAAAATATATACCCAGAATCAAAAATTGAAAATCGTTTTCTTTTTTCTTTCTTTTTTTTTTGCGACATTAGATGGATGTGAGTGAAAAGCGTTGCAACGCTTCTAAATATTTGGCCATTTTGCGCAATAAAAATGATTTTTCTCGAAAAATTGGGTGAAATTTTGCACACAAGTTGTTGTTCAAGATCTACATGAAATGGTACACAAATCTCGGAAAAATATTCCCGGTCCCATCATGTGGGAAAACCTCAATGGAGTCCTTTTAAAATATCTAAGAAGATTTAAAAACTAAAATTTAAGATATTTGTATCTATTGCAGTAATTCGGAGCCCACGAAGCCTGCCTCTCAGTTAACATGTAAAGTTGTGAAACAGTTTATCGATGGGTTGAAGAAAAAGAATGAGCCCAGTAAAGCAGCCCAATGTTTAGGTCAAACAACTAAAGATGACGTCATGCGATGGCTTGATGAAAATGACCTTGACCTTATGCACCACGTGATTTTACTGAACAATCCTGAAGCAATAGAATATCTGCTTTCTCATGGCTATTTCCAGGTAAAGTATTCAAGCATAAATATACTATAGTCCAAAGTACTCAGATTGAACTCTATCTTTGATTGAAAGATGATCCTGTATTCTTAATTGGGCTCTGTTGGATTCAGAAATCTGGTTGCATTTTTAAAGTGAAATGCTTAATTGCCGTCATAATTAGAATGGTTCAATAATTTTGATCATCTTGTACAAATAGTATTGCCATCTTTGCAAAATTTAATACATGTACATTGTTATAACCTTTCTTTGGCTTGTTTGTGACTTTCTGTCTTACTTTGAGGACCACCATGTAAATCAAAAATCTAAAAATCAGCACTTTATAGAAAAGAGTCCGAGTAGGCCGCTGTTCTGCTAGATTTAAGCCAATGGACCTTCCATTGTTGTCGCTGACCAGCGTCTGATTTAAGTATGCCTAACTCAATGGCCCCTGATTATTCAGCAAACTTTCCATACGATAATTTGAATGTAATCGCTCGAGTATAATTGTTAGTTTGAATATAATTATTTTATCAAATTATTTTTCTAAGAGACTTACACAACTTTCAGAGTTTTATACAATATCATGATAAAGTGGATTTAACTAAAAGCTACAAGCTTACTGTAATTCTCTTCACAATACTTGTTTGTTCCTAGTATTTAGATTTCAGTTGGTTTCAAATCAGAGGTAGGTATTTAAGTAAATAGAACATTTAGAAAATACCCACATTATAGTACTGTTAGGTATACACTTCCGATTAAATTTGATTTCTTATGATCAAAGGTTAAAGTAACCGTTCAAAAATTGATTTCGGATCAATAGTCAATAATCAATAGCATTGGGATTTATATTTACTAATCAGCAGTTTGTTTTATATTTTTCAGGCTCCGTTTGAACCTAGGACAAATCTTTACGCCCATCTTGCATGTTACCTCGGTTACAGAACTTGTCTGAACATCATTTTACAGTACCGTAAAGATGATAATAGACCTAGCAAGAAAATCACATATAATCAAAACGGCAACGGAATTACAGAGAGGCGTAGAGAGGTAATACAATGACCCGGATGCATTTTCAACCTAACTTATTGCCTTCTACCCATTACAATGGTCTGAATGTTCAGGGCAAATGAAATGTCTTAAAGAACCTGTAACTCAATTTATTATTGTTTTATATCATAAATATGATGCTCAAGTGAAGATTAATCAATATTGTAAGTTCCAAAAAGCATTATTTGTAAAGATATAACCGAATTTACATTTCAAGTAAATAAAGGGAGGTATATTTAGAAATTTATTTTCGATAAAGCCTAAGCCTAATTTTTCAATAAGAAATGAATGCATATATTTTAATGATTACTTATAATGCGAATAAATATTTGCAGTACATATTTAACATACAATGTATTATTGGATGTTTGGAAATTGTTTTAAGAAGAATAAGTATATACATATATCCAAAATTACAACATACAGGATCTTTAAAGTGTATAAAGCTATATATCTGATGCAAAATTATTGTTTGAATTTAAAAAAAAGTATACTTCCAAAATCTTTGTATGAAATAAATATGATAATTTAACTCCTTAAAAGCGAATGGCACATGCACAAAATCATTGCTAAACGGATAAAACCCTACTTGAATAGCAAAATAATATTTTGTTCCGGAACATTTTATACTGCTTACGTACAATATTCATGTGTATTAAATAACAGAGACATTCTCTTTTACAACTTTTTCGGGAATCAACCATATAATAACCAATATAATTTTACTATTGATAAATTTTATTAAAATATCACATAAGATATAGATTTATACCCTTTAAGAAAATCCGCTAGAAATGGGGTACTAGATATTTGGCGATATGTCATATTACACAGCAAATATTCACATAATTACTTAAGTGTGATTATTTATACATTTTTTTTTTCAAATTATTAATACGAGCATGTTTTCTTATTTTTCAATGTATTTAATCACCTGGAGGCGTACAGGATAAAGGGTGCATAATTTATATGAAAGGGTTGTATTTCGGGAAGTTATAAAAACATTCTAATATCATCCATAAACTATCCTTGTCATTGGTGTTTTAAATACAAGTGCTGGTTCGTGTTTTATATACGTACTTTGTAAAACAAGATTAAAATGGCTTACAGCCAGATTAAATGTTATGACAGTTTTAAAGTGTGTTTCATTTTTTTTGTTTGATTTATTTATCAATAGTGCATGCAACACAATAATCAGATTTTGCCGGAAATGCTGATATAAAAGTTTTGCTTATTTTTAACATTTCAAATATATGACGAAATATATTCATACGTTTTATATATTAATTAATTCATATGTTAATTACAAATAATAATAAGAGTATTTCAATAGCTGGCCATTGATCGGAGAAGATTTACAAGTTAAAGCTTTGCTAAAGAACATTTTCCGAACTAAAACCCATATATGGAATCCCGTACTGCACAAACATTCCCACTATGAAGCTTTTTTCCCCCAACAAATTGCACATTTCCAGTTTTCCAAGAAAGTCCAATTCAAACAAAAATAGCTGATTTTATTTCATAAATCTATTTTTAGACTAACCATAGTATAATTGGTTTTGTTTTCAGGTATCACCTATAGATATTGCAGCAGAAGCTGGGCATCTTCCGTGTGTAAAACAGATTTTGACACAATGTGTGAATGATTTCAAGAATCACGCAGATTTCAACCGATTTAACCTTAGTTGCCCTTAAGCAGCTTGTAATTTACCAGTCAAAAAAAAGAATTTTTTTTAATGCCCCCCCTCTAAGTTACAAGCCTTTATCCACTCTTCCAAAGAAAGACAAACCGAAAGGCAGATCGACAATTTAAAAAGGCAAAGATAAGAGTAATCCCCTGATGAAAAGCCTAGTGACTACAATGTCTAGATCTTCCAAAACAAGGCTCAACTTAATTCAGTCGGAAGAATCGGTGATAAAACCAGTAACAGATTTGGAACCGTTCTTCATCAATTCGCAAAATGCTCTGTAAAACTCGGTGTAGACACAGATATATTCAAATATCTATTACGACAGGGAGCAGATCCGAACGCTAAGGCTTCAAATGGGAAATACGTCATTAACACTTTCCTTGATATACTGTTATCAGAACTCAAAGAATTCAGTTCACATTCAACACCAGCGGACCACACGGAAAATGTTCAGACTATGCTCGGTTTGTCACTCTTCATGACTCGTCAATGTGTGAAAGAAACTCTTGATATCCTGAACAAAGACTTTACGAAACCTCCACATCATATGAAGAAGTACGTTCAAATAGCACAAAAGGAGTTGTCCGAAAGAGCAAAAGAAGTCTGGCCTTTGAAACGTTTATGCCGAGTGCTTATTTGGGATCTGTGTAAAAGAGACGCTTCTATAGTGACCAAGCTCCCGACAGATATTGAATCAAGAACATACATATTACCGAGTATATGAAGAATTCGTTACTTAGTGTGTCAGAATCATTTACTTTTTACAAACTGCATTTGCCCGCAAACGAACTACATGTTTTTTAAAGCCAAATTATTGTTAATTTATTTATTAAGAATACATAGATATATACTTGATGTATTAGTTTGTTGTTTTTGAGAGTCTTTTCCACTTTAGGTTCTCGAAAACGGTTTGCTAGGATATGCATTAGCATAGTTTATCAGACAATTGTATTGGAACCGCCGCTCTAGACCAGAAGATTTCCAGACCAAGCTTTTTCTCCAGTTTAGAGAGATTTCTGCAGAAGAGGAATTACCCATCTAAACTGTGAAGTGACAATATAAAGCTTTCAATTTTAGATTGTTTTAAATGTACCTCAGCGCATGTTTGATCTTTCGTGGGTTCGTTTGTTCTTACAAGCTTGAAAAGAATCATTCAAACTTTTATAAAAAATATATTTTATAAATGCAATAATGAATTGAACATTGCTTGAATGGCTCTTGTCCTATCCCTCTTTGATCTACTCGATTAACTGTTTAAGCAAGTAATTCACTACATTAGGCTTCGCAACAGTATGTGGAATGTAGACACAGTCTCTCCATATGCCCGCCATGTAAAAAGTGTCTTTTAGGAACGAATGTTTTAAAATATTGTAAGCGATTGTGCTACATTTCATATACATGTACGTACTTATTCCTAAATTCAAATAAACCTACTGTCTCTGCGATTTACTCCCTGGTTGTATCAAATAAGAAATTTTCTTGGGTGACACCAAAAGAACTTATAAAAATGAACCGTACATCTTATTATAAAGTGAATTACCAAAATTGCTCTGTAAATTTACATTGTAAATGTATATGCGCAAACTGCAATTTAACTGAATTCGGTAATAATACAAATAGCAAGCGCTTAAAGATCCTGTATGTTTTGTGATTGATATTTATACTTTGTGAATACCACACTAGCAAAAAATTATATATGTACATATATTTATGCAAATAAAACAATTTTCAAACATCGAAGAATATGTAAATTGTTTACTGCAAATATTTGTGCACATTATATTTAATCAATAAATTACAGGCATTCATTTCTTATTGGAAAATTTGACTTAGAATTTATAGAAAATAATTTTCTAATTACCTCCCTTTATTTACATGAAATGTTAAATTGGGTAATATCTTTATAAATAATGCTTATTGGAACTTACAATATTGACAAATCTTAATTTGAGCATTATATTTATGAAATAAAACCATGAAAAAATTGTGTTACAGGATCTTTAACTCGTCCCGTAGCATCGTGACGTAACTCTTTACATTACAAATACTCATTGTTCGATTCTTTCCATAAAAATGCTCTAGGACTATTTACTTAGACAGCCAATTGATATAAATGGAGCTATTTAACACACATTTCATCAATCACTGATAGCACCTCTCCAAAATTGCTTTATCTTATTAATGCAGGTCTAGGTTTTAAAGGATTAAATAGATCATAACCTTGTCAGCAACCACTGTGTAGAGGATGTTTAAAGTTGTCATTTATTGCGTAACAAAGATTTAAATCAAAGTTAACTATGCGGAAATATTGATTTTAGCCATTCATTAAACGATTTCTCAATTGTTCGTAAAGACCTGCAATTTACTTTAAGCATTGAAAAATACAGCGCAGATCAAGAGAATTTTCCTGTTGAATAAAGCACCCGCAAAAAATAATTAATAACTACCTTCCTAACTAACTACCTGCGCGCATTATAATTTTATTTTTCATTTATACATAAGTTCTTCCGTCTATACATTTTATTTATATAATGAAAGTTGGAAAACGGAGATTTTTTTCTTCCATACTTAGAGACCCGAAAACAAATAAACAATAAATAAAAGCAAATGTATGATCTTTTCTAAAATGTAGTCTCGGACGAAGAATTTTCTTTCATTTCTAAATCCTACGGAAGTAAATCATGAAATAGAAACCAGTTCTGTGTTTAAAAATGTTCACTAATTTTATTAAAAATGTGTCATTAGTTACCAAGTTGTATCACTGTGCAGACGCACGGACAAAGCCAAAACAATATGCAATAATATTTAAGATTCTACATTTAAAGTTGAAATCATTTCAAGAAAAATTTCCATTTGAATGCTTATTGCTCACTTATATCTGTTATTTTGTTTATTGAAAATAAACAGGAACAAATTATTTTATGTATGCAATCATCGTCGTTATGAAATATTTGTTCACATTATAATGTAACCAATTAAGCTGTATTAACGTTGATAAAATGATGATAATTTTGATAAATTGGCATGTACAGTCGTTATATAACTCGTTACACTACAAACAGTCATTGTCAAATTCAATGCATGAAGATACACGAGGATTATTCACTTAGACAGCCAGGGATAAATGAAACTATTTCATACAACTCTCATCATTCTACAAGATTACTTTATCTTCTTAATGCGTGTCTTGGTTTGAATGGATCAAATTGATTATAACCTTGCCATCCGAGATGTTTGAAGTTGTCATTTGTTGCATAACAAATAACTAAATTAAAATAAACTATGCGGAATGTTCTACTTCCTTGAAAT